AAATGAACCCAGGCACTCCACTGTGGAACACTGACATCTTGAACACTAGGCTAAATACCCATTTCTGGAACTCTTAATATGCTCCTGGTGAGAATGTAAAATGGCACAATAATGTTAGAAATAGATTGGTGGTTTTCTTTTTCAAAGTTTAAACATACATCTATCATATGCACTAGCCATCGCACTCCTTGGTATTTACCCATGACACATGAAAGAAAATATTTGTACAAAGACATGCTCTAGAATGTCCCTATTATTCTATTATTTTTAGTACTTAAGCATCACATATAAAAGTAATATAAGTTTCCATCAACAGGTGAACGGATGTATAGTCATGCACTGTATAATGATGTTTGGCCAATAACAGCCTACATATACGACAATGATTTCAAAAGGTTTTAATGGAGTAGAAAAAATTCCTATCAACTGGTATTTGTGCTGCCTTTACAATATTTAAATAGAATTTTATACATAAATACCATTATCTTACTATAGTATTCACCACAATAATATACTCTTTAGGTTTGTAGCTCAGGAGCAATAGATTATACTATCTAGTCTAGGAGTGTAGTAGGCTATAACCTCTGGGTTTGTGTAAGTACACACTGTGTTATTCACATAACCATAAAATCACCTAGAGACATATTTCTTAAGATGCATCCTTGTTGTGAAGTAGAAAAACTGTACTTATATTCATGCACTCCAATACTGCTCAGTAACAAAAAGTAGTAAACTATTAATATATGTACAAAATGTTAGAGTGAAATAGAGCAAAGAGAAAGAACATTTATATGAAATTGTGTAGAAAACTACAGCCACAGAAAGCAGATAGAGGCTTGCAGAAAAGGGTAGGTATGGAAGGGCAGGAAAGAGCATATAAAGAAGCAAAGAGGGGTGAGGATTGTGGTGCAACAGGTTAAGCACCTTTTATGATGCCCATATCACATATTAGAGTGCCTGGTTCAAGTCATGGCTGCTCCGCTTCCAGCCCCAGCTCCCTGCCAATGTGCCTAGGAGACCACAGATGATGGCTCAATTACACGGGTCATTGTCACCCACGTGAGAGACCTAGATGGAATTCCTGACTTCTGGCATCACCCTGGTCTAGCCCTGGAGCTGAAGGCATTTGGAGGAATGAACCAATGGATGGAGAATCTGTCTCTCCCTCTCTCTGCCTTTCAAATAATGAAATATTTTCAGATGAACAAATTATAGTATGTTAGTTATTCCTCAGTAAAACTTTTTTTAATTGGACCAGATATTAGAGTTACCTAAGAACAGAACATAGTCAGGATACTGAATAATGAAATATGAATAATGAAGAGAAAGTTCTGTGACTTTCTAGTTTAGCAGTTTCATGAAGGGTCATACTGTGACCAAATGAAATGAGAAACTCAAATTTAAGAGTGAAGAGATAATAATTTTGGTTTGGAATAGGATTAGTTTGAAACACTGCAAGAAATAAGATATGGCATCTCATGTTGAATGTGGACTTTTAAGCAAAAATCTAGTCCAAGCATAAATATTTTTAAGTCATCAATGTATTATAAGAATATATAAACTTCAGTTTAACCACATGGTTAAAACATGGAAAATGGACTAGTCAAAGGACATTAGGGAAACTCACATTTCAGACATGTTGGAAGACACAGTGTCGTCTAGAAGGAAGTTGAGAACAAGAGATAAGCAAAGCTAGAGAGTTTGGTGTTATGAAAGCCAAAGAGGAAATGTCCTAGATGGAATGACATGCTAGCAGCTTCAAACACTATATAAATTAACATGAGGGCCAAAAGGAGTTCACTGGAGTTTCACATAGGAAGGTCCCTAGGGTTAGCAAGATCAGAAGCCACAGAGTGGTCAGATAAGAGCTGCAACAAGGGTCCAGCTGTGTAGGTTCTAGCTCCTTTGTGAGACCAGATTGGTTGTTTTACATGAATTATTCTCTACTTGCTTGCAAGAACGCTGTCCCGGGCTGGCGCCGTGGCTCAATAGGCTAATCCTCCGCCTGCGGCGCTGGCACACCGAGTTCTAGTCCCGGTCGGGGCACTGGATTCTGTCCTGGTTGCCCCTCTTCCAGGCCAGCTCTCTGCTGTGGCCCGGGAGTGCAGTGGAGGATGGCCCAAGTGCTTGGGCCCTGCACCCCATGGGAGACCAGGAGAAGCACCTGGCTCCTGGCTTCGGATTGGCGCAGCACAGGCCGTGGTGGCCATTTGGAGGGTGAACCAATGGAAGAAAGACCTTTCTCTCTTTCTCTCACTGTAACTCTACCTGTCAAAAAAAAAAAAAAAAAAAAAATGTCCCTTGAAGTTCAAATACAGTCTTTCAGGGGAGCATTCCTTATTTTCCTTGAGAGCCAGTTGGTAGAACCACAGTTACTGATGTACCCTATCCCCTGAATACATTGATTTGAAACAAAGTTGAGAAAGATTATTAGATTTTCAATAGATTAAGACAGGGATGAAAAGAATAACCAAAGAATAAACAACTTATAACAACTCAAAATTGAGTATAAAATCCTACTGTGTGATTATTTGATAAAACCCTTATCTCCCTGCTTACCCATAAAAATGCCTGAAGTCATCAACTTTGAAGTTTTGTGTTAACAACTTATGTTCATATCCAGTCAGGAAAAGAAATAGGGCAAGAAACTAAAGTGAGTGTGAGCATTTCATAGCAGAACCTCCTTCATCATAATCCCACATGAAGGATGGAATAAAGTCAGTAAAAACACACTACCCTGCACCTGTCTCTCTGCCAGAGTTAACTCTTGGGCCAGTATGTTTCAATTCCATTGTGCTGCTGCTGTTTAATCATTTTTCCCTAAAATGATTTTTCAAAATGCATATATTCACTCAGGGATAAGGAGAAAAACTACCTCTCATTACTGGCTTGCCTGAGATAGAAAAGCAGAATCTCATTTTCATAGACATTATTAAAATACTCACCAGGTTTGTAGAGACTATGTTCATGTTCTAGTCAACAGCCCCATAGGAAAACTTTTGATCTGGATACAAAGAAAAATACAAAAAAAGTTTTAAAAACAACTTTTTAAATCTTTCTTTTAGCCACCAGTTCAATCAAGGAGATAGATGTATATGAAATTAACTATGTCCATGAGAACTATTAAATAAATGTATGATGTTAATGTGTGTGAAAGGAATTGGATTGTTAAATCTTAACTTGATAAATGGTTTTAATAGTACAATAATTCTTGTCAGGTATCCTTATTGTTTGATTTTACAAAAATCTGAAGAGTTGAAAAGTTAATAGCTTTGAATGTTTTATTCTGGTCATTTTTTGTGACTTTGTAAATCTTATTGGAAAGGTAGGACTACAAAGCACAATGGAATTTTAGAATTTCTAAAATATATCTCTATTCCCATAGAATATTCAATCTAAAAGATAATGGGTTGGGGGGAAATAATAATATTCCAGGTTGAAAGAGTTACATAGAGAGAGGAGAGCCAGAGAGGGAGAGGTCTTCCATCTGATGCCTCACTCCCCAGTTGGCCGCAATAGCCGGAGCTGCATCGATCTGAAGGCAGGAGCCGGGAGCTTCTTCCAGGTCTCCCACGCGGATGCAGGGGCCCAAGGACTTGGGCCATCTTCTACTGCTTTCCCAGGCCATAGCAGAGAGCTGGATCGGAAGTGGAACAGCCAGGACTCTAACCAGTGCCCATATGGGATTTGATCAGTTTATGATGTATATATATATATGTGTGTGTGTTGAAATGTTGCACTGTACTGTCGCTCCCCCTCTTCACGGAGGAACGACACAGGACCCTGCGTTGTTCTTTTGTCTGCTCGGCCCTCCCCGGGTTTGCTGCTGGTTCTTCCCGGGTTGGCTACCGACCCTTCCACCTCCGTGGAAGGGCAGTTCCCCCTGCCACTTTCCCCACTTCCGCGGGGGAGCGGCACACCGCCGGCCGGCTCTCTCGGGGGCTGCTCAGGTGTTCCTTCAGCTAGATGTTCCTGGTGCATGTTGTCTCTCTCCTCCTTTATAGTCCTCTTCCACCATTCCCAACTCTGCTACCCACACGCCGAGTACGCTGCTCTCCTCCAATCAGGAGCAGGTCCTGCTGCTTATTGGTTGAACTGGAGGCAGCTGCGTAGAAGCTGTTTACTCCTCTCCCAGCACCATATTGTGGGAGAGCAGATGCATAGAATAAGTCTTAATTCCAGTAACAGTCTAGTCCGAGTTGCTCCCCACACTGTACCACATAAAATATGACGAATATTACATATCAGAGATTCTTAAAAAATGATGAAAACATAAGGGAAGAAAATCAATGAGCTAAGGAAGTCTCATCTACTTTCTAAGCAATGCATTTTAAACAGAGAAGTGCCTTGCTTCTGTTGTATTTCTATTTCTGAATTCTTTAGCATCACCATATCATAAATACTATGAGAGACCCAAGAGAAAGTCCATTAGGCATGAGGACTCTCACAACAGTTGGCCCACCAGGCTAAAATGTAATTCAGAGTAGATGTGAATCCTGTCATCTTGCAGAACCAAGCATCGCTATCCTCTGCTTCCCTGTACAACCTTATCATACAGGATGTGTAATGTGCTTTGCAGATGAACCTAAGTCCCAGAGTGCTGTAGATACTGAAATTTATAGCAAGATTCACATATATATAATTAATTTTCTCATTCCTAATTAGGTATCAGTCTCAACATTAAGATCTTCATTTATTTTTGACCTATTTGTGTCATAGAAAACTATACTAAATGATTCATTGACAGCCATCCAAAATTGTATTCTTTTATCGTCATTAGTTGGCTTTCATTGGTGGTCAAGTAATTACTTTCATGGTCATTTGTGTATAGTTCAATATTTTATTGATATTGTTTCTGTAATTATTAAATGGATAGATATAGTACATGTGCTTGAGAAAGTCAGTGCTAATTTGAGAATCAAGCCAAATTTATCTTGGAGTAAGTGGTTATATAATATGGTCGATATTTCTCTAATAAAGGTTTTCTTTCTCCTTTGCAGCCAACATATCAATTGTAGATATAGACACTAACCAGGAGGAGAACTTATCAACATTTTCTACTGGAAACAACTTTGGTCTTGACCTGAAAGCAGATGACAAAATATATTTTGGTGGTCTGCCAACACTGAGAAATTTAAGGTAATTTAGTACATGTTTAAAGCTAAGGATTAAATTTCAATTAAATGGCCACTCTGCTCACTGGAGTTTTGAAGTTTAATTACAATAGGAATGTCATATAACCTTTAGTTACAGAAAGCCCTAATCAAAGAAATCATCTTGTGTGTTAGAATAGCATCAGGGTTTAGAAACTAAAGGATTAATTTGACATCTTTGTTGAAGAGATGGATTGGAATCACTGTTTCCCTTATATGCACCTGCTGAAAAGAATTATGAAAGTAATTAAAGGTGGAAGTCAGAGTTGGATGTAGATCTTGTAATTGCTGTTCTCTTTGCATATTCACTGGAGATAATGGCACTCTGACATTGCTTAGTGTTCTGAAAATTAGTCAGTGTTCCAGGATACTGTGCATGTAACCTATTTTATTGCTAAGCATTAGCAGCATAATGGCAAATTGGAACTGTCCCATATGCCTAATACTAGAAACGTATTAGTTATTCTCAAGCCCATGCCAACATTTGTGTTAAAATTTCACATATGCTTTTTATTTAGAAGGATGGGAGACACATTTAGCTCATGATTTAGTTAAGAAAATAAAGTAACCAAAAATGTCAGAATATTTCATATGGTGTTTAATTGACTGCTTGTTATAAAACGTAAGACCTAAAACCCATAGTACTTGGTACTCAATAAATGTTAGTTGAATTTAATTAGAATGGAGATAAATGATTTGGTTAAATCATAAGCGTTTACTACAAACACAGACTACCATGTTTTTAATGAGTATAAAAGCCATGTCTAGGTGTTTCCACTCCAAAAACACACAGTGCATTTGGAGAAATCTCAGAATAGCATAGTTGAGAAGTATGATGATCAGTTATTTCTGTATCTCTCAAATAAGCAGTATAATTTTAGTCTCATTTTTTGCCAATTACCGTGAAGGCTGAGGTTTTCTCTTCTCCCCAAGCATAAACTGGTTACAAGAGCAGACAATTGTCTACCAAACTTTCCAGGGTATAACTTGGTGAGTTTTAAGGTACAAATAAACTGGCTGTGCCTTCATCTACATTATAATGTATTTGTGTTAATAACATAGGTTGAATAGTGATATGGTTATTATTTGCAAGTCTATTTATTAAATAGTCATTCAGCACATGTTTGTTGAATATCTACCATGTGGCAAGCATTATACTAAATAGTGATCTAGTAATTGTTCTGGTTTAAGATGTACTTTGCAAGGTCATTAACAATTAAAGCCAAAACAAGACTATCCAAACCTGGCTTCATTTATTCTACTGGTGTTGCTAATTATCATGAAGTAATTTTTAGGAATTATCTACAAAGGTAAACAAGTTCATCTCATTGTGATAGATTTAATGTGTTAGCTGGTTTGCAGACTATATGCCTAATGAATCTATCATTAGACATTATTTTCAGAGTATAGATCTTCAAAATTATAATACCATGGCACATTTTTTCAAAACAATCTCTAAACACCTGTTTGTGACTGATAAAACAAGCATCCAGAGTTACTTGTTGTTTTTCCCATGCTCAGAATATTATTTTAATATATTGATTGTTAAGCTGAAGTTCTTTGAGAGGTAATGCTTATGCTTCTCAAAAATACTGAATAGTGACATTTGTGCATTTTCCTAATCATTAGCTCGATAAAAATAAATCTTAAGTACATATTCCCACATAAAAATTTTCTAAGAGAATTGGGTGGGAAATGGTCACAATTTTGATTCTAATTTCACTACAGTAAGAGTATATGCTGTTTTCTGTTCTATTGTGGTGGTTTTTTTTTTTTTTGCATTCTTTCCATTAAAGACCACTTTGAGATGATTTTTGAAAGATTCATGATTAAAGCTTATTGTTTTATTCAATGACAATGCAAATGTAAGTTAACTGTTTTTGTTTTTTCTCTTCCCTGTGACCTAGTATGAAAGCAAGGTAACATTTTACAATTTATGCATGCCTTCAAGTGCATGGACCTTCTTAGATACAGAAGCTATGCAGAGCAGAGCAACACCTATGCAGCTTTACTCATAGAACATTTCACGAGCAAGTAATGCGTTCTGGGAGAATTCTCATGTTGCTCGTCGCTTAAAAGATGCTGTTGCTTACCCACCAACAACTGGGCTGCGGTTGGAGTTACTTCACCAGCAGCGATGATAGACTTGCTCAGCTTACCTGTTCAACCACCTGCGCACAGTGCCCCCTGGTGGCCAGCAGCACATGCTCTAAAGGGAGCTGGTCAAATTCACGAGCACAGCCTCTTTCTAGGAAACGGACAGAAGAGGTCTCTGGGGTTGAACCCCAGACTCTGCCCCCCCCAATTCCACGCTGTCTGCTGACCAGTTCACCTGTGCTCCCCGAATGCTTACTTCTGCCTTGCTGCTTTTTGCAGGCCTGCAGATATGCAAACATTTGCACGCCCTTTGCACCTCGTATCAAAGCTGCTTATTTATTGCCGTTATTACTTGGAATTTGCTATGGAACCAAATGAAAGGAATCTCTAAAAATACTTTATGTTAACAATGATAAAGTTTGCAGAAAGTCCCCCTAGCTTCTCAGAAGCATTTAAATTCTTGTTTGCAGCCAGGCATTAGCAAGAATTAGCAGCTCGTGTGAGCGGCTAATCAAACCCCAGAAATGTGCAGGGTTGGTACACTCTGGCCAGAGCTAACGCTTGGCATCTTGGCATTTCAGCCTACGTGTGCCAAATTTCTGAAAAGGAGATAATGAGGCTTCACTGATCCAAGAAATTTTTAAAGCAAAGGCTAGATTTTTAATATTAGAAACTAGAATACATGGAAATGAAAGTTGGGAAAAATAAGCCAAGCTGTTTTATCATGATATAGTTATAAGACCAGTGGCACTATGCTTGCTGAGGTGACCAAAAGGCAAAGCTGGTTTCAATGAAAATATATGCCCATCAGCTTTGGGGTGACACAGTGTAGCTTTGGCATTTTGCCTTTGAATGGTGACCCTCAGGAAACCGAGGCCTCTGATTGCCTTTAGGAGTCCAGTCACCATATGTCATGATTTATGCCCTGATTTTCATAATGTGGAATTTGCCTTACCCTTTGAAATAGTTCTTTGGGTTTCCCTAGAACAATAAACTTGCACAAGTGATTTGCTTTATTGATAGGAATAAACTCTGGGAAAATTGTGTTAAACGATGAAAGTGAACACAACAAATGAACCTCACCCATTTCCTTTGATTTTTACAAGAAGCATATAAGTTCCTCCCTCTCCACTTGTGCATGCCCTTCATCATGATCAACTGACCACACAGAATGAGAGGACTTTGGGAAGAGGAGAAAATATTCAAATAAAATAAGGAAGTTCCACAGAGAAAGGAGGGAGGTGGAACACATACCTGACATGAAATCAATTGCCTGATACACATTGCCAGGGCCTGATTTGCTTTCCTACCTGTTTTTCTCATGCCATGTGGTTTTTATTAAGATGAAAAAGAGAAACACAGAAACATCATGGAACAATGAGAAGAGAATTAATCATTACCTTATCAAAAACAATTGTGTGCTGTTGAGTGGATGGTTTTTATGGTTGCTTATTTATGCTGCATAAAATAATAGCTTTTTACCCCTGTTCACCTTCACTCTTCAATACAGTAGCCAACCACTAGCTATGTGGCTAGTGGGAAAATAAAGTTACATGCCAAATATTCAATTCCTCATCGACATAACCTACATTTCAAGTCCCCATAGCCACATGTAGTTAGTAACTACAGTTACTAACTGTAACAGTGCAGAACAGGACACCACAGAAAGTTCTATTGCAGAGCACTGTTATAAAGTATCATTTACTACCTGCTAACTTATGTTTATGGAGCACTTACTATTGCTATGCTATTCACTCATGTTTCAAAATTTCATAACTTTATTTTCATGCACATGTCACATATAAGGACACAGTCTTAGTGAAGTCAAGTCGTTGGTATAATTGTCACACCATAAACCAGAGCAACATGCTTGTGCAAGGGCTAGTGCTTTATTTTCCAACATGGCAACAGATTGGAAAATGAAGCCCTTTTTACCTTCATTGTCCTGCTTTAAGAAACAGTAAGTGGGGCCAGTGTTGTGGTGTAATGAGCTAAACTGTTACCTGCAATGCTATCAACCCAAATTGGAGTGTCCACTTCCAACCCAGCCCCTTGCTGAGGCATCTAGGAATGCAGCAGCAGATGCTCCAAGTATCTGTGCCCTTGACACCCATGTCGGAGACCTGGATGGAGTACTAGGCTCCTGACTACAGCCTGGACCAGTCCTCCTTCTCTCCTTCTCCCTCTCTGCCTTTAACATACATACATAAATATTTGAGAAAAGGAAACAGTAAGCAATACATAAGTATTCAAGTATAGTTTGGGTATAGGTATTTTTCAATCTTACTGGGAAAATCCAATGTATATATTTTGCAGTTGGCTACTTTGTTATTATTTCAATATAGAATACAGACTTTAGGATCAAACTGTTAAATTTTGTTTTAATTTAGAAGCAGAGAGACATACATATGGATAACTCCCCAAATGCCTGCAACAGCCCAGGCTGAAGCCAGGAACTCAATGCACGTGTCCCATATGGGTGCCAAGGATCCAACCAGTTGAGCCATCACTTGCTGCTGCCCAAGGGTCTGCATTACTAGGAATCTGTAATTGGGAGTAAAGCTAGGACTTGAACTCCAGCACTCTGATATAGGATGCAGACATCCCAACCAGCAACTTAGCCACCAGGCCAAATGCCTGCTCCCCCAAAGTCTTAAAGAACTATTTTCTTTTCAAAATGAACATTTCCATATTTTTTAATCAAGATTTTAAAAACATTTGTATAGATATTTTGTGCTGCTTACACAATTGTCTGCTCTTCAGTGAAAAAAGAAACACTTGTTTATTATTTTTTTTTTGACAGGCAGAGTGGACAGTGAGAGAGAGAGACAGAGAGAAAGGTCTTCCTTTGCCGTTGGTTCACCCTCCAATGGCTGCCGCGGCCGGCGCGCTGCGGCCTGCACACCGCGCTGATCCAAAGGCAGGAGCCAGGTGCTTCTCCTGGTCTCCCATGGGGTGCAGGGCCCAAGGACTTGGGCCATCCTCCACTGCACTCCCTGGCTACAGCAGAGAGCTGGCCTGGAAGAGGGGCAACCAGGACAGAATCCGGCACCCCGACCGGGACTAGGACCTGGTGTGCCGGCACCGCAAGGCGGAGGATTAGCCTAGTGAGCCGCGGCGCCAGCCTGGCACATGCATTATTAATAAGGAGTCAGTTAATTCCTGTGCTTTGTGTCTCAGTACTATGGACTAATTGAAGAGGAGAACTATATGCAACTTCTTCTGCAGGATGGTGTTAACAGCCACTTCATCCGCCTGTAGATAGCGGAAAGGATGGTTTGTTGAGAACGTGTGTGCTGTGCATACATTCCAATTGATGTGGACTTGCCCATATGGTTTCCTACCAGTAGTCGGAGACAATACTGTCATTACCTTAATGATTGCTTTTGTTTTCCATTTAACTCTTCAACAGACCAGAAGTGAATTTGAGGAAATACTCTGGTTGCCTTAAGGACATTGAAATTTCAAGAACTCCATACAATATACTCAGTAGCCCCGATTATGTTGGTGTTACCAAAGGATGTTCACTGGAGGTAGGCCAGTTTTCAATGGCTCCCTAGACACATTCATGTCAGAGTTCTTTCTTAGTGTGTGTGTTCTTATACAGATCACTTCTTTGTTCATGTATTTTATATTTATACTAACCTGAGCTTAGCTGTTGATGAATGACATACCAAGATTGAGGCATTCTATGAGGTCATCAGAAAGTTCATGGAAAAAAAATGAATGTATTTCAAAAATTTTCATATCATTCTTTCATAAACTTTTTGAAATGCCATTGTATAAGTTACTATGATGGAAATGTATGTGAAATGTATGTGAAACTGAAAACTGTGGTGTATTCTTCTAAATGTATGGTCTTTCAAGGCATGTATATTTAATATTAATCTCTGTTCTAGTTCTTTCTTCCCTTCTAACACTATTTTTACCTTTTACACATTTTTGGTAACTTTCTTAAATTCGTTTCTTACATATGTATTGATATAGCTTTATTAGCTCCTTAATTTTTTTCTAGAATGTGTTGAGAGTTTACACAAATAACAGCTAGTAATTTTTACCATAACTGCTTAGTATATGGCATCTGGCCAACAGCTTTGAAATCTAGCTCCCTGGTCTTTGAAACAGCATAGATTGGGACTGGTGGCATCCAACCCTACAAAGCCTCATGTCTTCCATAAAACTACGAAGTCCATTCTTAGTGGATATCCTCAGTCTCTGTTTGTTGGTAAAGCAGCCCAGTCATGCACTAATTCCACTTGACCATTCAGCACTGACTCTTCAATCAGGAATGATCCATATGGAAAAAGACCCTTGGCCATAGTTCCTCCCTTGGAAAATATCCATAAGCAAGAGTCAACAGTAAATGGTAGTAAGAATTTTATGGGAACTCAATACTGATGAGCTTTTAAAAATGAGAAAGTGTTAAATATTCCTATATCAGACCTACTAATTTTTAATTACACTGCTATGAAAAACTATTCATTTTGGCTGCTTCTTCCCATTAAAATTATTTTAAAGCACTCCAGTAGAGTTCAGGGAAATGAAGAGGTACAGGAAAAAGGGAAAGTGAAAAAGTTAATTTGCTTTCTGAGTGATTAGGTATGAAGATGAGAACAGAACTTTCAGGGTTTTCATTGTTCATAACCATAGGTTCCAACTTAGAATTGGCCATAGGCACTCAGGTTGACCTTGGGAATAAGGAAAAAGGAAATGCATTTAAAAATGAAACTCTATAGATCCATACCGGCTTCTTAAAGAAAATTTTACTGGCAATTTTAATCTTCAAAGCCTTACTCTCAGCCACATTTGAAAGATATATATATATATATGGAAAACTGTCCAGAAAATGAATAGTTTCTATGCATGAAAATGAACATTCTGTAAAGCACTTTTTAGTAACCAGGAATTATTCTACAAGGAAAGTATAGGGCAGACATTTGATGTGGATAAATATTGAAAAGTCTGCACAGTGGTTTTATCTAAATGATCTAAAACTCCACAATTGGAAAATTGGAATAGAAAACAGATTATACATCTTACCAACTCTGTGTCATTTAACTGGGCTTGAAACACTGTAGGGAGGGGTGGAAATAGCCTACATAAAGGAGCCTTTGCCTTTGTTCCTACAAAATCTAAGACTTAAAAAATGAATATTTTAACCATTTTAAATGCCCAACTACATGGGCTGGTGTAAATTAACACTAGCACATTCATACCCTGGAATGTCTCCCAGCCGTTAAAAGTGATGATAATTTATATTTACTGACAGAGAGATGGACCTCACTTATTGAAATGAAAAAAGACGTTGCAAATGAACAGGTCCGGCAAGGTTCAGCTCAGTGTAGGAAGGAAGAGAGAGAAGAGTGCTAGACTGAAACAGAATGAATTAGTGAGTGAGTGGAGTCTCGAAAGCTCTATCGTAGCTTTGGGATATGGGAATGGAATTCTCTCTCTTTTGCATTTCGTTATCGTCTAAAATGTAATTAAATGACACGATTTTAATTTTGCAGAAAAAAAAAACAGATTCATCTTTAAGTTTTAGGCTTCAATTGATTTTTAAAAATGCTTTTGGAGAGTGTTTATCCATTTTACAGCAATGAGCGTATTTACCTTGGGCTTATCATGAGGAAGAATGTAAACACAGAACATGGTCATACTCATCTGTAAAACAACTGACAGAATATATTCAAGGGATTAATTATAGTGTTCTCAAGGGAGGCTCAGGAAGGTAGCCTTGTTCCCAAATAAAATGTCATCTATCAATAAGAATTCTTCTGTATTTTCAAACAGTTCTAGAATAAAAAGCAGAGGCCTTGATATTCATTTTAACGCGAACTGCCATTTGAAGTATTTGAGGTTATAACTGGAAAGATTATTTCTTCAGCTGATATTGAGCTCTCCATGAAACTGTGGGTTTTCACACTTTCTAAAATGACAATGTATTTCATAGACCTTGAGTAGGATGAGTGCGATGGAGACATGAATGTCAAGTTTCTAGTGTTTCTTCTCTTCTTTGACCCCCAGAACGTTCACACAGTTAGTTTCTCCAAGCCTGGTTTCGTGGAGCTCTCCCCTGTGCCTATCGATGTAGGAACAGAAATCAACCTGTCGTTCAGCACCAGGAACGAGTCTGGGATCATCCTCCTGGGAAGCGGAGGGGCACCTGCCCCACCCAGGAGAAAACGAAGGCAGACTGGACAGGTACCCTCACGCCCTGTTAATAATGCATTTTCTCTAGTGCTTTTATCAAACTGATCTTTCTAATTGTGCCATTTATTTCTACTCTCATCTTGGTTAACCAAGCCTGAATGTTCCATTTATCCAGACTAACCTATCTTTCTCTCATCATCTTAAGACAGTGTCTTCTCTAGGATTTTCCTATTGGTCAATTCCAGGTGCCCAGACACACTCGTATTTGCACCTCTATTCAGCGGAGCTGAGCATATACATATATATGAAGGAAAGCTCGAGATATATTCAGATTATATTAATCTTTTCTCTAAGTCTGATTTCTTACCAGATCCATAGATATTCAGCTAGAGTTCCTTACATTTGCATTTAGAGTCCTACTGTCATTTCCCAATTGCACTAGTTAACCAGGTACAGTGTGTTGGAGCCTGACTCATCTTGAATGAGTTTTCTGAACACAGAGAAAGGCAAAGAGGGGTAGAAGGAGGCAAATCAAACACAGCCAAAAACCATGGATGACTGTAGCTCACAATATATATATATACCTCAAGGGGGTTAAAATAAAGCCAACGGAGTATCTGCTTTGTCAGAGTATAGATTTGAGTATTTACATCCTCTGACCATTTGATTCCATCAAAAGCCATTCTTCAACTGCCAAGGTACAGACGTCGTAACTCTTCACTACCTTTGTATTCCTCTAATACCATCAATTTATCTTTTCAAAATACAATTTTGGGGGGTGGGTTTGTGGCATGGCAGGTTAAGATGCTGCTTGGGAAACCTCCATCTCATATGAGTGCTTGGTTTGAGTACTGCCTACTCCATTTCTGATCCTGGTGCCTGCTAATGCACCTGGGAGGTAGTGAGTGATGATTCATGTTCTTGGGTTCTTCCCACCTGTGTGGGAGACATGTATGAAGTTCCTGCCTCTGCCCTGATTATTGCAATCATTTGGGGACAGATGATACCTCTTGCTTTTTGCTACTCTGCCTTTCAAAGAATAAATACATCTTTAAAAATATATGTAATTAATTTTAAAATATACAAAAATTTCCATTTAATTTAGCTTCTCAGTGAACTAATTCACAGAAATTATCTAGTCTGCCATGATCAGAAGAATGAACTCCTTAAAAAACGTTTTTCTTTTTAAAGAAATGTTTTATTTTTCCCCCAAGAAACCTTTTATTTAAGGAACACAAACTTTATGCATTTCATAGTACAACTTTAGGAATATAGTGATTCTTCCCACCATACCTGCTCTCCCATTCCCAGTCCCATTCTCCACTAAGATCCATTTTCAATTAACTATGCACAGGAGACCAACTCTATACTAAGTAAAGAATTCAAAAAATTGCATGCCACAAAAACAAAACAAAAACAAACAAACAAACAAAAAAAAACAAGAAAACTGTTCCTCAGCAGTCGAGACAAGGGCTATTCAAGGTCATTGCATCACTCTGGCCTCAGAATCAGCCCTTAAGGCATTCGGATCTGGTTGAAAAGCCCATGAGACTATTTCAGGCATGGAAAGCCAAGACACTCTGGCAAAAAAAAAAAAAAAATGACCTAAATGAAAGATCTCTGCAAGTGAGATCCCAGTGGAAAGAACAGGTCATCAAAGAAGGAGGTACCTTTCTCTGAAGGGAGGAGAGAACTTCCACTTTGACTACGACCTTGTCTAAATATGATCAGAGTCAGCGAACTCACGAGGCTTCCATAGCCTGGGCAACTCATGACAAGAGCCTCGGGTGATTACTGACACCATAAACAAGAGTGTCAATTTGTTAAGTCAACAACAGGAGTCACTGTGCACTTACTCCTCATGTAGGATCTCTGTCCTTAATGTGTTGTCCAATGTGAATTAATGCTATAACTAGTATTCAAACAGTACTTTATACTTTGTGTTTTTGTGTGGGTGCAAACTGTTGAAATCTTTACTTAATAGATACTAAATTGATCTTCTGTATATAAAGAGAATTGAAAATGAATCTTGATGTGAATGGAAGGGGAGGGTTGCAGGTGGGAGGGAATTTATGGGGGGGGGGTCATTGTAATCCATAAGCTGCACTTTGGAAATTTATATTCATTAAATAAAGGTTAAAAAAATAGTCATTGGCCGGCGCCGCGGCTCACTAGGCTAATCCTCCGCCTAGCGGCGCCGGCACACCGGGTTCTAGTCCCGGTCGGGGCGCCGGATTCTGTCCCGGTTGCCCCTCTTCCAGGCCAGCCCTCTGCTGTGGCCCGGGAGTGCAGTGGAGGATGGCCCAGGTGCTTGGGCCCTGCACCCCATGGGAGACCAGGAAAAGCACCTGGTTCCTGGCTCCTGCCACCGGATCGGCGCGGTGCGCCGGCCGCGGCGGCCATTGGAGGGTGAACCAACGGCAAAAGGAAGACCTTTCTCTCTGTCTCTCTCTCTCACTGTCCACTCTGCCTGTCAAAAAAAAAAAAAAAAAAAATAGTCATTGCATTTTGAAGTTAATTTCACCATTTTTTTAGAAACCTAATTAACTTTAAAGAAGCACCCAAGAATGATACATCTTTTGCAAGCACTTAGACATAATATAACTCTTTTGAGTATAGATGTCCTAAATGGGTAGTGCACAGTGACTCCTGTTGTAAATTTAATAATTAACACTATTATGTCTGATGTCAGTGATCACCTGAGGCTCTTGACATGAGCTGCCTAGGCTATGGAAGCCATTTGAATCCACAGATTCTGTCAGTATTTAGATAAGGCCAAAAGCAAAGTGAAAATTCTCTCCTCCATACAGAGAAAAATACCTCCTTCTTTGATGACCACTTCTTTCCACTGAGGTCTCACCCACCAAAGTCCTTCATGTAGGATATTTTTAGCCACAGTGTCTTGGCTTTCCATGCCTGAAATGCTCTCGTGGGCTTTTCAGCCAGACCAGAATGCTTTAAGGGCAGATTCTGAGGTCAGAGTGCTATTTAAAGCTATTGTCATTCTATGAGTCTGCTGTATGGACTGCTTTCCATGTTGCAGTATTCACTTCTTTTTAATTCTATCTATTATTATTACCAAACACTTATTCCTATCCATATGATCATTTTAACTCTTAAGATGGTATTTTTACCACCCAGCTAATGGGACTTGGGGTCCCATGGCACGTTTTTAAACTGTACCCTTTTTAAAAAACTTTATTTAATAAATATAAATTTCCAAAGTACTGTTTATGGATTACAATGGCTCCCCCCCCAACTTCCCTCCCACTCCCTCTCCCATTCCATTCACATCAAGATTCATTTTCAATTATCTTTATATACAGAAGATCAATTTAGTATAAATTAAGTAAAGATTTCAACAAACTATACCCTTAAAAGTAAGTCTGTAAGAATGAATGCAAAATTATACAGCTCTACAGTTACAAACTGCATACACTTCATAATTACAACTTTAGGAACATGGTGATTCTTCCCACCATGCCCACCTTCCCATTCATACTCCCACTCTTAATTTTTACTGAGATTTATTTTCAATTGACTTTATCCACTTATGTTTAACTCTGTGTTGACTGGATAAAATTACTGGATATGTATAACATGGAATACTACACAGCAGTCAAAATAAATGAAATCTGGTAATTTGTAATAAAATGGATGAATCTGGAAAACATCATACTTAATGAAATAAGTCAGTCCCAAAGGGACAAATACCATAAGTTCTCCCTAACCTATGATAACTAATAGGGCACACAAAAGGTAATCTGTAGAAGTGAAATTGACACTTTGATAAGCAATGACTTGAACACCCTTTGTCTTGACTGCTAAGGAACAGGGTTTTTTTTTTTCATACTATTTGTTGAACTCTTAACATAAAATTGAACATAGATGTATAAAAATGTCCTTAAATGTTAATACATACTTATAAACCAAATCACATGATTTGTGACTATATTTTTTTAAAAATCAATCAGCATTTAATATTTAGGAATTATAAATTTTCTTTTCCTAAAAAATTATATTCTACACAAAATATTAGCAAGCAGAATCCAAAGTTTTAGAAACATGAATAACATGGGTTATCTCAGAGAGACAAAGGTTGTTTAACATTAGAAAATCTAAGTTTGTTGAAATCTTTACTTAATGTATGCTAAACTGATCTTCTGTATATAAAGAGAAACGAAAATGAATCTTGATGTGAATGGAAGGGGAGAGAGAGTGGGAAGGGTTGTGGGTGGGAGGGACGTTATGGGGGGGAAGCCATTGTAATCCATAAGCTGTACTTTGGAAATTTATATTCATTAAATAAAAGTTTAAAAAAAAAGAAAAAAAATCTAAGAATCATGTAGTCATCATAATTTTTAAAATATTCAGTCTGAGAAAGGAGCTTTCTTAGTTATCTGTATGAAAGCTACAGCAAGTATTCTTGAAAACATTAAGATGTTTGCTGTGAAATCAAGCCCAACAAAAGGGTGGCTATTATTTCTGCACTGAACTTAAGCAGTAAATTAAGAAACAAAAAGGTACATATAGTATAAGAACATGTAGATGATTTTTTTTAAAAAGTAACAAAATTGGTATAAGACCCATATGGAGAATATTGTAAAATTCCACTGAAAGATGTTAAAGGCTTAATGTTTAAAATATGGTGATTATTCCTCAAATGGTACATCATTCAATTTTAATTTAAAAATCACACTCATATTTTTGTGAATCATCACAAGCTAGTTTTAAAATTAATATCAAAGGTCAAAAGCCCCCAAAACTTCTGAAATAGAAGATTAAGGTGATGGAGCTGCCCTACCAGATATCTGCACATTGGAAGCTTGAGCTGTAGATTGTGATAGACTGGTGCTCATTCATGGAAAACTGTCCCAGTAGAACAGAATGGAGATCCTTGAATATACCCCCAAAGATAAATGCAAACAACTTTCAATAGTGGGTGATGTCATAGATCATTGAGAGCACCGTGGGCCTTTCAATGAATGATTTCAGGTCTATTAGTTACCTAAGTGGAAAATATGAAACAAATTTGTACTACCCACCAAAACCAAAAAGTAAATCCCAGTGTTAAATCAACAACAGGAGTCACTGTGCACTTACTCCCCATGTAGGATCTCTGTCCTTAATGTGTTGTACTATGTGAATTAACGGTAAAACTACTACTAAAACAGTACTCTATACTTTGTCTGTGTGGGTGCAAACTGTTGAAATCTTTACTTCTGTATGTAAAGATTGGAGGGAGGTTATGTGAGGAAAAAGCCACTATAATCCAAAAGTTGTACTTTGGAAATTTATATCTATTAAATAAAAGTTAAAAAAAAAAAGTCTGAAATATGGAAGGAACAAACTTTAACATCTTTAGAATATAGAAGGATAGTTTTGGACTTTGGAGAAAGAAATTATTTCTTGAACAAAACAAGATTGTTAGTGAAACTACATTATCTTTAACATTCTCTAATCAAACAACACCAAGCACAAGCCCCAGCCTGGAAACATTCCATACAAATTAACCAACAAAACAGTAGGAACTGGAATAGGAAAGTAACTCTTAACAAACCAACAAGATAGAAACATACGAAAGATTGAGTAGATACGTCACAGAAGAGAAAACATAATTGACTCAGAAATAATTTTTGAATGTTCATTATCATCATGGGGGATATGTAACTTCAAACCACACTGTATCTATACCCAGTAGAATGCTAAAACAAAGAAATATGGTAATACCACATCCTGAGAAGTCCTAGAAACTAGGGAATCCTTAATCATGGTGCAGAGGAGGAGGAAATTCCTGCAGTCACTTGGGTAACAATTTGACCCTACTCTAAGACTGATCACGTGCACCTCTTACAAGCCAGCAATTCCACTGCTAGATATAGACCTAAACTTTTGCAGCCGCACACAATGGAATTCATGAAAACATATTCATAGCAGCATCCTTTATGATAGCAGAAATATTAGAAGCAGAAAAATTAAAAACAAATATGTTCATCGGATGGAGTCCAGATAAGCAACCTGTGCCACTTTTGCATGATGAAATATTAGGCAGAAGTATAAAGGATTAAATAACAACTAAATATAAGCTAGATGAAATCTTGTACTATGACATTTTTATATATTTCTCATACAAGTAGCAGTAAACAACATTACAGATTTATGTGTGGATTTTCAAAAATGATTTGAAAAATCAAGGAATTGTACTTATAACTGCAATATTAGTGGTTACTCTAAATTAGGAAAACAGGGAGATGGGATTGGGAATACTCTCACAAGAGATAAAGCAATATTATTTCTTAAATTGAATAGATTTAGGCAGATTCAGTTGCACAGTGTCCGCACAGCTTAATCAAAGTGAGGTATTTATCAAATAGTCAATAAAAATATTTTTGATGAGGAAGAAAAGGTATTTAATTTTGTTACTGAGCATATAATCATTGAATACTTATAAAACTACAGGTTCTCTTGAATCCTCTATCCTTTGATTCTGAAAAATAAAACCATTTTCTTGCTATCATAAATTACAACTTAGTCATAAGAGAACCACACCAAACATTCTGAAATTGATTTCTATTAAAAGATGCTTGTTTCTTTAGACATTCACAACTAAGTAAGCACTTCTACATCTTCCATATTTCTCATCAGTAAATAATAAATGAACTTGAATCACTAGATTTCAAGATAATTCTTAAAATAAGCCATGCTTATATTAAAAATTTTAAATTAACACTATAGTACAATTAGGAATGACATTTCAATATTCCAACATTTTCATGAGGATCTAGTTTCTAGAATCTCATAAAAATGCTTTATGGAAGAGGAAATAATGTTAGGTAGTTCATGTCTGTTATAGAACCATTCTTGATTCAGTTGACATTTTTATATTTCAAAGCTGAAAGTTTTGATATCCATTGGTTATTTGTGATTGCTTTCTGCTCAATGGGTTTGAAATATCAAACAATTAAGAAATTTTGAGCACACAGTTTGTTGATGGATGGTGAGTGCCAATCCACAGCTCCTCAGAACATTTTGTGTAGGGCAAAAAGCTGTCGAGATGATTTAATAAATTACTGAAGACATGACGATGCTGATGGAAACTATTCCCACCATCGCAGATGACTCTTGAAGGACTGAGCACTGATTTTGCAGCAGGTGCTTTGGTGCCCCACAAAAAACGGAGTACATGTGGCACCTGCTTTGAGGAAAAGAACTGCATTCAAACTCCCTGGGGTTCATAACCGGATATCAAAACCATACTGGTTGCTATGGTAACAGTAGCAAGTAGAAAGCAGACATGCTTGTGATGAAAAATTGTCCTCTTCCTTTCTAAATGTGGGAGACAACATGCATGTTAGTGATAGTGATCAACTCCACTGGCTTAGCAAGCAGATTGAGGCCTCATCTCAAAATGCCAAGAGGTTGAGAGCCGGACCTCACTTCCAGAAGCTAGCTGTCCACCTGTGCATGTAAGGGAAAAGGACTTGATTGACACCCTTTGTTTCCTGGTGGGTTCTGTAAGTGAGAGCAACGCCTGTGAGCACAGCCGTTACCTTCAACACTGCAAATGTGTCTTGCAGACAACTCCTCTCTTATACATCTACTCTCCACATCCTCTAACAGGCAAATAAATAAATAAATAAATAAATTTATTTTTTAAAAAGTCCATGAGTAGCAATGTATTCCCGGCTGGTTTTAATAAGACTCTGTTTAAGAACACATAGTGTCTTCACTGTCAGGTAAGATCTCAGAGCAGATGCTCCCGCAATTCTGTCTCAGAATCTCTGAAGCTAAGTCATTGAGAAGACCCTGGGTTAGTCTTCGATTACCGTTTGTCATTGCAGGCTTATTATGCGATATTCCTCAACAAAGGCCGCCTGGAAGTGCATCTCTCCACCGGGGCACGCACCATGAGGAAAATTGTCATCAAACCAGAGCCGGGTCTCTTTCATGATGGGAGAGAACATTCCGTGCACGTGGAGAGAACGAGAGGGTAACGAGAGCACTGGAGGGCTTACTGCTGGGACTAACATGAACTTCCTGTGCTAGCATCGCTCTGTGAACCCGCTATGCATTGCAAGACAATAAAATGGCTTCCTGTCTTCTTCATGTGTCTACTTCGGGAACCTCATTTACCTGGACACTTAGATGTTCTGCTCTTACTGTTTGTATTCTGTGCGGTTTTTCTTTCCACCTTTGCAAAAATCCAACAGAGCTTCCGAAGCTACAGCTAAGAAACTCCCCTCCCTCTGCACCTCTGGAATAGTCTCTTCTCACATAAGGTATGCACAGAGCAAAACACACAGAACAGCTCAGCTGGAGCCAGCAGCCTTTGGCAGCCGCTATTTCATTCAGGTTCCAAAGCAGTTATGGCAGCTGCTTAGAAATCTGTCATAGGCATAGGCTGTGGCAGCAGCTGCAGGACCTACTGAGCCTGTTACGTGCGCTCCCCCTCCTGGCTTCCCTCTCCAAGGTGTGCAGAGTCCCCGCAGTGTGGCTTCGCGGCAAGGAAGCAGAGAGAAGGGAAATGGCTGCTGCCCTGAGATCCATTTATGGGGCTATCTCCATATCAGATTCATGGCAGCTCTTGTCCCCATCCCTCGTGAGCCCGGAGCCATGGAATTGACCTTAATAAGTGCGCAAACTGAGTTCTCATCTATTCAGAACGTTGCCGCACTTTCTACTGACTTTGTTGGCAAAGCCGTCTGTATTTTTCATCAAAACATTCTGTGGCAACACAGAGAGGTAATTAGTTTAGAAAGACAATTAAAGAGAAAGAAAACAGAAGTCAGAGACTTCAGGGACCTCAGACCTTCAAGCCAGCCAGCCATTTGTCAGGCCGAGGACATAGGCAAGAACTGGAAATCCAATTTGATGAAACCCCAAAACACAGAGAATACTTCTAATGCAACAAGAGTATGAATGCGTAGCCACTGTACAAGTAAATAGACGCACTTCTATGGTGAAAATCTACCTTCTCTAATTACCCTCTGGTGTGGATCACAGTTTAGATTAGCAACAAGGATTTCTTTTCTTCTGAGTAAATAATGAAGCTTTCTTCAGCTCATTTTCTTATTATATAGAGCATTAGGTTGTGTGCTGAGTTGATGCTGAGCAGTCATGCAGAGTGTCTGCTAACTGAGAAGATTGGACGCCATGATTAAGACAAATGAGGGATCAATATTTGGACAGACTGGCAACTTTTGCTATTCTGTGAGCCAGATACTGTAGTCGTGGTCTCAGAGGAGAAAGGCAAACTGAATTGTTTTCATTTGACTTTCAGGGTATGTGTAGAATACTGATTCTGCGTGCCTTCTTGACTGAATTAGAGGCCCTCTGTCGTCTTTCTCATTGTGGAAAATTAATTTTAAAAAAGCTTTTAAAGAATTTCTGTAAGCAAACTCAGATTTGAGAAATATAGTTAGCTAAAAATCAACCAAAATACATTCTTCTGTTGAGGAAAGATTATCCTGAAATTCCCCAATGCCATGTTGTACCGAGGTGTCCTTTTAACAGGTGTTTCTTCAAGAAGGGCATTTTATTATGCCAACCTCACAGCTGTTGACCATCAATCCAGCTTTTATTTGATTAAGCTCAGTGCATAGCACATCACCGAAAGCTGGTCATTCGGTTAATTGGCCATATAAACAAACAGTTTTGCCATTTACTGTTGATTACAGGATAATGTATTGGACATATTAGTGTGTAGCCAGTGAACTCTGTGCCAAATCAGGAGCACATTTCCCTCCATCAGGTCTCATTCAACACTCTAAGGTCGGAATGCAACCATCATTAGCCCTTTAAGCAAGCGCCACATAAAACTGACTAACCAGAGATCACTAATGACCGCAAGAACTGCAACCAGAAACATTTCTAATGCTTGTTACACCTATTCTGTGGCATGTTCTGTGTCAGGTACTAGACAAAGATTATGTCTTTTAATCATTCTTAATGAGATCTCTATTAATATCCATTCATCACAGATGAGAAAATTTTAATTAACTTGTCCAAAATTACATACCATATGTAACAGAGCCAAGCTTTAAACCCAGATATGTTTGACTTAAACACCTCCTTCTATGTTCAGCGAGCTACTGTTACTCTTACTTGTGACCTTCAAGTTTTAAATTAATTCATATTGATGATATACCACAAATAATTTGGAAATAATTGCTTCCTTCCAACACTTTCCAGACTATAGCTGTCTGAAACCCCTCTTCATAGAATCATTGGATTTTTCACCAAACTAGGGCGATAAACTTCTTAAGATTGTCCTTTATCTACCTCTATCTCTCCTCCTCAACTCTCTCACTTGTCTCCCTCTTTTGGTAGCTAATTTCTTGTTACTTTAGCAACTTCTGCTTCTGTACCTGCTTTGCCCTCTGATCCATCTACTGGAGTCTACCTCAGTGGCCAGTAGTTCTAACAGAACAAAAGCCTTCACCCATAAAGGCTTGAAATAGCTGTTTATGTGAATAAGATAAACTGAGTTGGGTTTCTCCTTTGTGACAGCATTCTGCACACAGGTATAGAATCAGGCTTAAAGACTGCAGGGTTGGAGAGAGGTTATAGGAATAATTTGTACTTTCCACAATAAGATCACTATTTGGATAGTACAACCAACTCCTTTTTTTTTTTTTTAACATTTATTTATTTATTTGAAAGAGTTACGCAGAGAGAGAGGTCTTCTATTCGATGGTTCACTCCCCAGTTGGCCACAATGGCTGGAGCTGCACCCATCCGAAGCCAGGAGCCAGGAGCTTGTTCCTGGTCTCCCATGTGGGTGCAGGGGCCCAAGGACTTGGACCATCTTCTACTGCTTTCCCAGGCCATAGCAGAGAGCTGGATTGGAAGAGGAGCAGCCGGGACTAGAACTGGTGCCCATATGGGATGCCGGCACTTCAGGCCAGAGCACTAACCTGCTGCACCACAGTGCCGGCCCCCCAGCCCCTTCTTTCTTAGCATCAAAAACATGTTTAATCAGGAAAAAAAAAAAAATCAGTGCACAGGCAGTTAGTCTAGCAGTTAAGACATCCAGGTCCCACACCAGAGTACCTGGGTTCAAGCCCTCACTCTGGATCCTAACTCCTGCTTCCAATCTGCAACCCCAGGGAGGAAGCAGTAATAGCTCAAGTAATTGGGTTCCTGCCATCCATGTATGAGAACTGGATTGTGTGCCATGCTCCTGGCTCTGGCCCCAACCAGACCCAGCTATATTAGGCATTTAGGGAATGTGCCAGTGGATAGAATCTATCTCTTTCTTTCTCTCCCTCTGCCCCTCAAAAAAAATTCAGGTTTTTTATGTAAATTACTAATTTGGTTGTTTGGCTTTTCATGTAAATTACCAAGGTACTTGCTTGGCTTAATATCTTCTTCCACATATTCTATCCATTTGGGAGCAACTTAGAAAATGTCTTCAAACAATATTTCCAAACAAGAAACAGAATATAAGAATAAAGTATCTAATTATGAAACTCTAACAACTGAAATTCAAAAATAATTATAGCTGACTACTATACACTAAAAAGTAATGTTCAATATGATTTTTTCACATAATGGGCAATAAGTAAAAATTTGTTAAATATTTTAAAGAGCAGGAAAATGAACCAGAAGCATATGGACATGTTTGTCATGTCCTTCTGTACAAAAGAACTAAATCAATGATATGGATTTGATGTTCCTAGACTGCAGAATGCAAGCAGGCCTCAACTATGATCTTCTATCAATGCCCTTATTAATTAATACAGCCTCAGGGCACTCCCTTAATTAATGATTTACCCTGTTTGAAGTAGGTATTTTTAGCTCCATTTTATAAATGAATAGAAAGAGACAGCATGATTAAATAATTTGCCCAAGGTCATACAGCTAGTGAGCTTCCACACTCAAAGTTAATTCAGTGTGTTCTTTCTGCGAGCCCTTGTTCATTCTACACCACCACCCTGTATTCCAGTAACAAGGACTTCTCTTAGTAGTCCTAGTCCTTGAGGCAGCACCGGGCTAAAGAGAAGTTTCCACCAGAAAGGGGAGGCCCTTCGGCTCTTTAAAACTCTCACCAAGAGCAAAGATTTCCTCTCCTTGGACCATCTGTCATGGTGGCCTCAGCTCTCATTAAAACCCTTAGGAGCACTGTTTCATCCTGCAAGAGGCCACATTTGCCAAAGGAAACAGAGATGTGGGAGGAGGGGCTTCTCAATGAGTCACACATGCCCGCAACTACATACATACTTTTCTATCAGTGTCATAAAACCACCAACACTGTCAACAGAAGTTGTGACTTTGATTTTTGCCAATGCATTCTTCCACAGACTGCTGAAATAAATGTCATTTCCCCCTATTTTGCCTTTGAAATTAAATTTGACCTGTGCCCTCCATACTCCCCAAGCCATAGCCAAACCCATCTTTTGTTCCATTCTTTTACTTTGGAATTGTACCTAAGTGGGCCAATGACTCAATGCCAATCCAGAGCATCGTTGCTCCAGTTTATTGTTTCCAGTTCCACATGTGGTTTTTGCCTCTTTATAAAATCAAGTAAGATGGCATTATAAAATTGAATTTTCCACCCAAGTACTTTAATTTTCTCCCCAGATATGAAGTAAGTTTTCAGTAATTCATTTATGATCCTCGGGCTAGTGACTAATACTTATGACTAATAGTAAGATGACTTTTGGGATTGACAATGCAAAGCCTGCTTCTAGAACAAAGAGAAAAATGCCTTTGGTCATTTTCATCATCAGAACTCTTTGTCTCTTCCTGATTCTTCGCCCAGGGATCCAAGGATTATTGTGAATAAGTAGTCTGAGGTTCTCAATAAGTAGTGTGTGGGTTATCTCTCATAAGCAAATTAGGGAAATTAATGAAGTAGCCACTAAGGAAAATCCTTGCAAGCAACAATTAGCTTGGTATTCTTGCCTGCCTCTTCTATTCAAAAGCCAGCAGCTACATGCTTTGTAAAATGGACTGTGTTTGCTGTTGATTCCTGCAATCTAAGCTCTCTGGAGTACAGTTGGTCCCCTAGCAAGAAGATAATAGCTAGTACAAACCAAGAAATGGAGAGCCAAACAAAATGGGACCCCATGCTGTGCTAACCCCACTGATCCTGATACAATTAGACATTACTTCACAGTACAAGTTGCCTTGGTTCCTACAGGCTCCTGTGTTGGGCTACAGACTACTGCTGTCACCTCTGCCAGATGTTAATGCTGCAGCTGCACCATTGCCTGGTTTCAGTAAACATCCAGGGAGAGTTAACAAGGGAGGCACCAGACAAGATTTTGAGAAACAATAGCATTTGCTTAGTGCAGAATAACCATCCAATCTTGGCTCACTTCAAAGCTACGGGAGAGACCAGGGAGGTGAGGGTAGCAGGGACGGATTTGACTTCCACCTCTACTGAGTGCTGTATACCTTATTTATACCTGTTTATTTTAAATGTTTTGTCAGCCTCTTTACTGTCCAAATTGACGAAGACAGAAAGTATATGCAAAACCTGACGGCAGAACAGGCCATTGAAGTTAAAAAGCTTTTTGTTGGCGGTGCACCACCAGAATTTCAGCCTTCCCCACTCAGAAATATTCCTCCTTTTGAAGGCTGTGTATGGAATCTCGTTATTAACTCTGTGTAAGTGAAATTCCTTGCTACCGGGTTTTGTTTTGCTGTTGGTGGTGGTGGTGGACGTGGTATGAGATTCACACTTGCATCTGTACTATCTGAAATCATGCATGGGGGAAGGAAACTATAAAGGTCTTCAAGTTAAATTTAGAAAATTGCACTGATGGCCTTAAGAAGGGGAATGGGAGGATCTGATGTCATTGTAAAGAAAGGAGGACAGTGAAAAATAAGGAAAATGTTAATTCTCTTCCATAGTCCCATGGACTTTGCACAGCCCGTGTCCTTCAAAAATGCAGATATTGGTCACTGTGCTCTTCAAAAACCTCCTGAACATGAAAATGGAGCAGTTCCAACTGAAAGAGTCACCCAGCCTGAGCCAGTTCCCACCTCAGCCTTCCCTACACCCACCCCAATTTTGGCACATGTAAGTGATTATATCCTCGTTGCTTTCTAGTTTTTACCCAGAATGTTGAGTCACCTGCAGGACTGTATCAGTAGAGTATACATTGTAGAATATATGCTGGAATTGAGTGAAGGGTACTGTCTGTTAAAGCATATCCTCTTCAAATCTTCTTTCAATTACTTCTATTTACATATATATATATATGCTCTCAATTTTTGTGTATATAAAATAATGTTTTCAGTTGAAAAGTTGGAAAGCACAGAAATATCCCAGAGTCAAGAATAAAAGCCCCCTGTGATGCCACTACATGAGGACAACCTTGTGGATTCTCAGTCCCTCTCCTCTGCAGCTTACACAGATCTCATCCCACATATATGACTTGGAATCCTGCTTTTAAAAATTAATACAGTCAGCTCTCCACATCTACAGATTTTTACCAACTGCAGATCAAAAAAGCCCAAAAAGAATTGTGTCTGTATACAGAATTTTTTTCTTGCCATTATTCTCTAAACAATAACTATTTGCATTGAATTTATATCATATTCAGTATTCAAGTAATCTACAGATAATTAAGTACTCAAGTAATTTCTTGATGCACAGGAGAATATGCTTATGCTATATGTGGATTCTATGCCATTCCATATAAGGAATTAGCATCAGTAGGTGGGTAACCAAGGGGGTCCTGTGGATATCAAGAGATGACTACATGCAACTAAAACTCCTTCTAAATTGTGTGTGTATGTCTATGTTATATATGCACATACACACACATAAAATATTTCATAGTATGTGAAGTAGGTGATCTTTGATGAGAATGTGGGCTGCTGAGTCAGAATGCTTGTGTTCAAATCCAGCCCTCTACCCTAAGATCTATACGAATCTGGGAAAGCCATTTTGGTTAGTTGTGCCTCCATTTCTTCATCTATAAAATGAGGATACCAACAGTGCATATGTCAAAGAGTTATTAGCATAATTTTAAAAGAATACTGTTTTCTAAATGCCTTGCATATACTAGCCATTTAATAAATGGCATAATTATGATATATAGCAATTACTATTGTAACATTTGAAATTGGCTAAGCCATTACCTTCCAATATTATATATCCCTCTGATAACAACTCTGTGAAGTATAAATAATCAATCCATTTTAATTGCATTGTTAAGAATTAGATAGCTTGAGTTAGCTAACCTCCTGACACAGCTAGTAAATGTCAAGATAAGGATTTTAGTCCCATGAGTCCAACTCCAAAGTCTGGCTGTTACCACTATAATGTTTTGACTTTATAATTTATCCTATTCATAAGAGCCCATTGTGGGCTTTTCTCCTTATTTCCAGTTTTTCACTATTGGAAACTATACTGATGAGCACTTCTGTGCAAATATTTATTTCTGATTATTTTCTTAGAATAGATTCAGATATGGAGAGTTATGAAGCCCAGCAATGAATATACCTAAGGTTCTCAATACACCTATCTGAATGGCTTTTCCCAAAGGTTATACCAATTTACATTCTTACCACCACTGAATCAAAAGCTCGGTCTCACTTTGCTCTTGGCAACACACGCACGATATATATAACCCATGCTAAAAATGGTTAGGAAATGTTGTCTTGAGTACAGATTTTGAAAACCTTCTAATATCTCATTCTCTTCCTTGGTTTCCATGAGGGGAGTGGTGGTTCTATAAGCAGTATGCTCCTTGTCATTAGTAATGTTTAGTAAATGAGAAGCTAATGGGTCATCATCCAGGAAAATTTGTCACTCAGCATCATTTCATGTTCCGTAAAATGTAGATATTACACCTATCTTACCTACACCAAGTTGGGTATTTTTTTCTTATTTAATTGAGAGGTAAAGAGACAGACCAAGTTTCTGTTGGCAACAGCCATTGCATCTGAGCTGAAGCCAGGAGCCAGGAATGCAATCCTGGTCTCCAACATGGACGACAGGAGCTCATTTACTTGGGCCATCAGTGCTGCTTCCCAGAGTCTGCATTAGGAGGAAGCTGGAGGCAGAATTCAGTCCCAGTCATTCTGATATGGGATGCAGGTGTCTTAACTGCTTCACTAAATGCCTGCTTCCTATTAATCAAATAATACAATGTACATGGAAGTCCTTTGAAAATCGGAAGCAGCATGCCAACATGGATATTGTGAGGAATCTTTGCATTTACCAAACAATCAGTATGGGTCCATTCTTCTGCCAAGCATTTGTATCCATTGTTTCATTTGATCACCACACACTCTTGTTTTATTTACACTTGGCTATACTAATGGGAATAGTATTTGTCTAAGATCACACAAGCAACTAACAAGTGGGGGCCATCAGTCAGGTGGAGATTAGTTCAAGTTGTTGCTTTCCTTCCAAGGCCTCACTGAGATCTGCCACATGGATTTCAGAATGTCTCCTCAGCTCTTTCATAATATAGTCTCAGGCTAGTTCTTTCCACAGAAAAGGAAAGGTTATTGATCCTCCTTATACATCTTAAAAGCATGAGTTTCCCAGGCTCAAGAATGTTTCCAGTTGAAGAATTCAATATTATCTATAGTTGAATAAACTTTGACCTTGAGGTCTTTCTGACCATTTATAAAACTGTGTCCTAGAGAAAACAGAATCAAGTTTCTATCCATTTCACTTGGCTATAATTGGCTAGAGCACTGGAGATCATCTGGTAAAATCACTATGGCGATTATGAACTCTTGCATGTGACACTAGATGTGGACTTGCCACCTTTGCTTAGACACTTCATTGATAAGGATTTCCTGTTGTTGTGATGAGACAGAGTCTAATTGTAGGAAGCCATGGTTACATTCAAGGAAAACAACATCCTTCTTTTATCCAGGGGTGGCAATTGTCTGGCCCAGGGCTGTGCAGGTCCACCAAATTATTTGGTCTGGCCCTGCCAAAGCAACTGAAGTTGGGGACTCAAAGTTCAACAAATCTATAGCAGGCTAATTTTTAAGTTGATAATTTTGTGTGGCTGCAAATGATGTTATAAATATCTAAATAGCCATTGGCAGGAAAAAAAGTTCCCTACCCCTAACATTGTTTATATTTTCTCTGTTGTTTCTTCAAGGATTTAAAAATAGCTATCTTCACCCTCAATAGGTTAAATATTCCATAAACTCAGGTATTGCTTATATAACCTAATTTCTAATTACCATATCCTTAATGAACAATATTTTCAGCTTTAAATAGCCCTTACAAAATATAGTACCTAGAATAGACCTTACTACGCAAAATGATCAGCTCAGGAGACACTGAAATTCTCCCTTAGTCTATTGGATTTCTATCAATGCACCTGCAAATGTTTTCATGGATTTAACAGCTGCAGTATGCTGTTGAATATTAATTAGGTACCCTATTTGATCAAGTAATACCTTGTGGATTTTATCAGTGGAACTTCCTTCATCCAGGTCGCTCAGCATGTTGGTGTAGGTTTGGGTTTTGTTTTGTTTGGCTTGGCTTTTAAAAGGAAAATTCTGCTAGACTCCATTGATCATTTTACTTTTCTAAGTCCCAAGCAAATATTGCTTTATAGGGGATCTCAAGCACATCCCTCTGTAGTTTCTAAAGAACACAGCCTATCTTTTCTGAAAATAAAGATTCTTGCTCCTCTGGGTCTGGAGTTCTTCACTCATGTGAGTTTTCTTATAACCTTCTGGTTTTTTGTTATAATTATTAACAATGTCCAAAATTGCATGTGTGTAATATTTGTACATAGCCTAGAACTCAGGAATAGTCTCTAGAATGAATTGCTTTAATCTCTCAGGTCCGCATTTACTAATGATGGGAGGTTGGGAAATTCCCCTCACCTCTCCATGCCTCGGTTCCTTCCTCTGTAAAATAGAGATGACAGAGGCACCTGCCTCCCTGGGCTGTGGTAAAGATTGAGTCAGTATATGTAAAACAACCAGGAAAATGTCCTGTACTTAGGAAGGGTGATAGAAGTGTTTGTTCTTACTGGGAAAATTTTGCAAAGCTCCTTGGTACATGTTTGTATAAGTGAGGAAACAGAGGCTGAGAATTTAAATTGCCCCAGGCGATCCACCCAAAACAGGCCCTGACTTGCCCAGGAGCCTGCGCTAACCTTTACCCAGGCTGTGGTTCTAGGAAGGGCATGGCACCCACATACTCAGTCATCGTTCTCCTGCTCTGACCTTTTATTCCCCCCCCCCCAAAAATCCTTTATTTGAGGAATACAAACTTCTTGCATTTCATAAGTGCAACTTTAGGAATATAGTGATTCTTCACACCAAAACTAGACTCCCACCCCTCCTCCCCCTCCCTCTCCCATTCCCACTCATTCTCCACTAAGATCCATTTTCAATTAACTTTATACACAGAAGACCAACTCTATAGTAAGTAAAGAGTTCAACAATTTGCACACACAAAAATAAACTGTTCCTCAACAGTTGAGACAAGAGCTGTTCAAAGTCATTGCATCTCCAGTTAATTTCACTTTTGAGAAACTTAACATTAAATAACCACCCAAGAATGATACATCTTTTGCAAGCACTTAGACATAACTACAATTTATGAGAATAAGAATGTCCTCCATTTAATACATTTAAAGAAAATAAGCACTAGAGAACAAGTTTTATAATTAAGGAAGCACATAAGAAAACAAGCAATGGAGTTGGACACTTAGGCATAACTAAAACTTATAAGACATAAGAATATCCTCCACTTAATACACTAAAATGAAATAAATCTTTGAACAAGTTTTACTGTTAACTCTCATAATACAACTCTGAGGACAGAAGTCCTGCATGGGAAGTTAGTGCACAGTGACTCTGGTTGTTAATTTAACAATTAACACTCTTATGTATGACATCAGTAATCACCTGAGGCTCTTGACATGAGCTGCCTAGGCTATGGAAGCCTTTTGAATCCACAAACTCCATCAGACAAGGCCATAAGCAAAGTGGAAGTTCTTTCCTGCCCTCAGAGAAAAGTACATTTTTGATGATCCCTTCTTTCCACTGGGGTCTCACCCACAGAGGTCCTTCATGTAGGAC